ATCTACAAAGTGGACAAAATTTTGCCCATCAAACTTTGATAAGCGCTGTGCATCAAATGTGAAGTGTGGGAACAGGCGGGGGTCCCGAAGCAGGTCAGTAGCTCCCAGAGATCCCTGTAGTATACATCAAAGTCACACATCTTGCTGTCATGAGGCACTGAGATCACTTCTTTCATGAACTGCACTTTGAACAAGGTCATATTCTGATTTCACAGTGGTAAATGACACCACCTTGGTGATCCAATGAGATGCCGCTTCCCACTTGCTATGAATATCTTTATGGTTCCTAAATGTGAATTTATCCTTGCCAACAGAACTGTGAAGGCAAATTCTTATGAGGCGGTCTGTTTGTTCATTGTTCAATCTAGCCTCGAGAGCGAGCTCAGCAATGTTGAATTCAAGCTGGGATTGGAATGGACACCAAGGCTGGTTATCAGGAGGGGTATGAACTGAAGAGGCTGCCGGACGACGATGAAAACTATCGAATGGGTGGACTTTCATCTTGATACCACTATTTGGGTGGTGTTCGACCTTTATGTCAGTCACACGAATAGGTAGGGAGTGCTGCAGCGTCCACGAGTTCAGGTTCAAGAGAGTCTGAAAATCCATAGTGTTATCTATAATAACAACTATAGCAAGATCACTGACTCACTGATTAGGCTGAAGTCTACATCGAGACCATGTGCGAAGTCATGCCAGGTGATCTCTCATCTCGACTGGGAGACAAAATAGTGAGAAATATGGACATCAAGATAGCATAACACGTACTTGGTCCAGGTGTGTTAGCACTGATTGGGTCGGGCTGTCCAGTCGTTCATCTAAATCAAGCACAGAGTTCACTACTGAATGCTGATCTTTGGCTTTAAGATCCAACTCAAAGTCGACATACCTTTGTCTTTCCAAATTGCATCTACAATGACCTGATTGCATGACAGTCACTTTTCTGTGTTCGTCTCACAAGCTTTCCGGTGAGTCAGTCCAGCCTCAGTGGCTTGATATCTTGGTTGCATATATCGCAGAACCTCGTGTGATCTGGGGCCATTTTGGGATAGAATTACAAGGTAAATACAGGTTTGCAATACAGAGGCTTGAAGGATTGAGGAAGTGCAAAGAGTTTGCTGTTGGGCATTGATGGAATAATGAGGGGAAGAGTACATGCATTACATTATGACTTACAATTGGTTGAAACTCAGCAATCAGTATTACATTATCATTTCAGGACATGACAAGTATTACCTTATCATTTCAGGCGACATCTTCAATGTCATCTACATGATTATAGTGGTGCATCCTGCACCAAGTCCCGCATTTGACTGTTTTGTTTTGTTGAGGCTTCGACCTGCTACTGACAATTTCCGTCCCGTTACTAACATTTTAATCAGTCGATCGAACATGTTCAACTGGCCCAGGTCATATGAAATCAATTGTTACTTCAGTTCGGTGGTGAGACAGTGCATTTATTTTTGTATAAGTAGCAAATGAACTCATACACTACTCTTGCGAGATGCGCAACCACTACACGTCACCCTTCAATGATACACGTCCTCCCATGCCATCTGGTCAGTGTTACGACTTGGATGGTATCTGTTGGCGACGCTCAAACAGAGCTTGTGTTGTCAACGGTCAAGGACGTCCTTGGGCTAGCCCAAGGTTAGGGGTCGTACTTGGCGGGTCTTCAGCAAGTACGATTTGACGCCTATGTCCAAATCGGGTAGCTTATGTCACGCGGGTGCGAGACGATAAGCTATATCGGCCTAGGCTTACGACACCCGAAGGTTAATCGTAAGGATCGTTATTAATTAGAAGGACAGAAGTCCGACTAATTAACAGGGGCTTTGCTCGTCGACGAAGTCGATGAGTAAAGGTCGAAACTATAGGCTTATCTGCGAAGAGCAGATAAGAAGATAGAATATAGACTGCTGGCGAGGCAGAAGGATCACTCTGGTGAGAGTAGGAGGTCAAGAACCAAGTAGATTCAAGTTAGGGAATATGGTACATGGTAGCGAGTTTATATAGAGGACGGGAGACGTATTAGTGGGTGATAACTCGTACTACCGGGAGAGGCAATCGGTAAAGGGCATAACCATAACAGGAAGGCACGTTCGGTCGAGGTAGAACATGCTAGATAAGAAAGTGAGTCAAAGGTCGAAAATAAGAAGTGAAACGCGCAGGGGCACGATCATGCAGCTTGCAGATCTAAGTATAAGTCGCATGTGCGACTGCGCACCGAGTCAGAGATCAAGAAAGGAACAGGGCAAAGGGGATGCGTCGTGCATCACATCATAGGTTACCGTCCAGACGGTAAGGGCAAAGGGACTGTCCACAGGATCAGTCGGGTGGTGGAACGGAGCATGGATATGCTTCGTCAGCAAAAGGGTCCAGCCAGATGTACTGGCTTTGCTGAAGCGACAGGTAGAGAGCGAAAGGGAATGCGAGGATGACGAGGATGACAAGGGTAAGGTCGGGGTAAGGGTATGACGCGAGGGCTGATACGAGGAGGTGTCACGAGTACCTTTAACAAATCATTATTCTTTCTTGAATCTTCCCAAGCGTCAATACACAGCGCCTAAACCAAACCCTAACCCTACCTTGAAAGCGTCTATCATTCCTGAAATACCTTTAGCGCCCACAACACGTGTCTTTGATGTGACTGAAGAAGAAGACGAGTTCTTTGATTGTGAATAGATTAGATTAGATATGATAAGATAAGATATGGTCACGTGATACTTCTTTAATATTCTACAATGTTCTATGGTACGATTCCCTTTCTCTTTTTATGATTGGCTAGTAGTTGTAACTCAGTTTCAATCTCCGTTTCAATAGTTGTATATAGGTAGCATGTCTTGGTCGATAGTTCCTTAGTTCAAACCTCTTGTATCTACAACTGTAGCAATCCAAGACGTACTTGCTCATTATCCTCTTTGTCCAATAACCTTTGTTTGAGTCCTAGTCTCTGCCCAGCGTTAATTCGTTATTGGGTTGTGACATTAGGTTTGAACTATAGGAGACTCCGACTCCCGCATACCGCTCGCATCATTTCTCTCTAGGTGATTCGTTGAGCACATCGCCAACAAACCACTTAGACAGCCATTACACGTTTTCCATTGCCCGGCCTAAACAGCCGCGACCATTTTCTGAAACCCATCCTTTTGCTCGCTTGAGCTTTTCTACGAATAGCCTTTATTAGTTAGTAGTCCTATACCAGGCCCTGCCTTACATTGCAGCTGCCAGTATACGGAGGTGTTGACGACATTAGGCGTCTCGCTACAACTTTGAGTGCTGGCCCAAGACCCTGCCTGCTCAACGTTACTATAGTTTCTTTCATACCTACATCTTTCTTCATACGCACGTAGAACCTTTCGTTAAGTCTAGTGGAACTGTCGCATCTGCGGATAGTCCTACCATCGTTACCACGAGGATTTAGATACGGGATTCTAGTGAGACTCGCACTTGTAAGCTTCGGCTGGAAGAGTGATAACTTGTCCTAGACCTGTACCCTTTCGGTGACTGAGAAGTAGCACACACGAAGCACACAGTGTTTTTCCCACTTAACAAAGCGTAACTTTACGTACTCCTTTTAGTTAGTAATTAGGGAAGTGTCAGTCGGGTTGATTAAAGAACCCTTTGACCCTAAAGGACAAGGTTGATCCAGTTAGTACTGGGGACCCCTTTAGCTTTCCATTTTATGTATCCTTTTTCCCTCTCCCCTTTCATCATCTTTCCTATCCGGAAGAGCCATTACGACCCGCTCTTCAACAGTCATTAGTGAATCGGATTCCAGAACGCACCTGGCACTATGGCTGAAGTCAACGAAACAGAAATGGGACCCGAGAACCCTCAAGAACCCCAAGAACAAGGGCCTCAGGGACCACAACCACAAGGCATAACTATGCCGGTGGAATTCACCAACTATGTACAGAATGCTATCACAATGGCAACTCACAAACTGTACGTTAGGACACAAGAACTCCTAAACCACAACAACACTCTTTGAGCACAGAATGCAACTCAAGAGCTTCAACTTAGAACCCAAAACTCACAAATTGAGGAACTAAAGAAGAAGCTTGAGAGATTCGCACAAAGTCCGAACACTTCACAAGTCAAATTGTCGAAGCCCACGGAATTCACTGGAGACAAAGATTTGATCTCCGTAGAAGTCTATGCTACGCAGTTGGCATTATATATGTCACAGTGGCCACTGATCACGGACAGGCAGAAAATCACAACTGCTCTGTCTTTTCTCAAAGGATCTGCTGCTAAATGGGCGCAGAAATATGTGATTGAGCTTGATTCCAAGCCAATATCCTTTGAGGATTGGTCAAAAGAATTCGAGACCATGTGGGGACAAGACGACAGAGAAGGAAAGGCTGTCAGGGAGTTGGAAACCCTGAAGCAAGGATCTTCATCAGTGCCCGAATACGCAGCAGCTTTCAAGCAGAAGGCTGCACTCACTAAATACTCCGACTACGACCTTCGCCTTAAATTCTGATCTGGCCTACAAACCCGGATCAAGGAGCAACTCGCTCATATTCCAACGTCTGAGAAAGACACCCTCAAGAAACTCATCGATTACTCCATACAGATTGGACATAACTACGAGGAGTTAGACGCTGAAAAGAAGAAGAGTAATTGGTGGACCCCTAACAAGGAAACCACAAGAACCTTCAATAACTCAAGGCAGGCTGGTCCTAGCAAAGACAGTGACGCTATGGATGTGGACTCTGGCAAGCAGAGGGGATCTCCCAAACCCCAAGGAAAGCCTGGTGCTTTCACCTGCTACCACTGTGGAGAACAAGGCCACATAGCGAGAAACTGTAAAGGTGCGCCAAAAGCGCAAGTCAAAGCGGCTGCAGTTGTCGAAGAAAACTCCGCGCCAAAGTGGTTCACAGATTGGATCGCTTCTAACAAAGGCAAGGATTTTTAAAGGGGTTGAAGTCAAAGTCTGCAGACCTAGACCCAAACAATCGTTTCTCTATTCTTTCTACGTTTCAAGATGTATCAGAAGTACATATTAGATCCAAATCTGAGCATTTTTATATTCCAATAACGTTGAAAGGAAAGAACCGACAAGCAGACGTGAAAGCACTTGTGGATTGTGGTGCATCAACATTATTTATCAGTGAGAAGTTTGTTGAGAAGAACAGTGTAAAATGCCGTAAATTATTAAGGCCTATTTCAGTCAGGAACATTGATGGATCGCTAAATGCCGCTGGATCGATGACTCATTTTGCAGAACTACGTCTAAAGATTGGTAATCATGAAGAAGAGAAAGCAGCCTTCATGGTCACAGACTTAGGAGCAGTCTAAAGTCGAGTTCCTGGGGTTAATCGTGGAAGAAGGCAATGTGTCGATGGACCCTGTGAAAGTAGAAGGAGTATTGAAATGGCCTGTTCCCAAATGCGTAAAAGATATACAAGCATTCATGGGCTTTGCCAACTTCTATCGAAGATTCATACTTGGGTTCTCAGATATAGCCAGACCAATGAATGATCTGCTAAGAAAAGATGTTAAATGGGACTGGACGGAGAAACAACAGAAAGCTTTTGATGAACTGAAGAAATGTTTCACAGAAGCCCCCGTTCTAGTCATGCCAGATGTTGAGAAGAAAAAGAAAATAGAGACCGATGCTTCAGATTACGCAACAGGAGCAGTTCTCTCTCAACTCATGGAAGATGGATTATGGCATCCAGTAGCATATTACTCTAAGTCAATGAATGATGCGGAAAGAAATTACGACATTCATGATAAGGAGTTATTAGCGATCATTAGAGCGTTGGAAGAGTGGAGGCACTATGTGCAGGGAGCACCTCACCCAGTTGAAATATGGACAGATCATAAGAACCTTGAATATTTCATGACAAGTCAAAAGTTGACCAGAAGGCAAGCTAGATGGAGTCTTTTCCTAGCGGAGTACGAATTTACACTCCAACACAAGCCTGGTGTGGTTAATGACAAAGCAGACCGTCTTTCTCGGAGATCAGACCATAGAGGGGGGGTAGAAAACGATAACTCAGATCGCATTCTTTTGAAACCGGAATTCTTTACCGTAAAAGCTGCTAAAAGAGGTCAAGTTTTGGTGCATGGAGAGAAACATTTACTCCAAAAGATACGAAAATGCACAGAACGAGAGCCTGAAGTCGCTAAAGCGTTAGAAACGTTAAAAGCAGCACCGGTTCAATTGCGTAGAGGAATAGAAGAATGGAATGTGGAGGATGGATTGGTGTTATTCCGAGGATTAGTTTACGTTCCAAATGATAAAGAGATCCGCCGAGAGATATTGGAGTTGTTTCACGACTCTCCACCGGCTGGACATCCTGGACGAGCTAAGACCTTAGAATTGATTTCCAGAAACTATTGGTGGCCTTCAATGACGAAGTATGTCCACGATTACTGTAGATGGTTGCGATAGGTGCAAACAAACGAAAGTGCTTCCGAGTAGACCAACGGGGACCTTTACAGCCAAATGAAGTTCCGGAAGGACCTTGGCAGACAATCACCTGTGACCTAATAGTGGATTTGCCGAAAGAGTGAAGGGTGTGATAGCATTTTTGTAGTCGTTGATCGATTTTCGAAACAAGCACACTTCATTCCCACCACCAAAGACGTAGACTCGAAGGGTATTTCCGAGCTATTTCTGAAAAATGTATGGAAACATCATGGAACACCAAAGAAAGTGATTTCAGATAGAGGAACTCAGTTCATATCAAAGTTCATGGGACAAATGTCAAAAAGATTAGGAACAAAATGGTCTGCGTCGACCTCCTATCATCCCAGAACCGATGGACAGACTGAACGCGTAAACCAAGAAGTCGAACAATACTTGCGCATGTTCACGTCATACAGACAGAATGATTGGGTATCTTGGCTGCCTGATAGCAGAGTTTTCACACAACAATGCAGTCACAGTAACCGGTCATAGTCCGTTTAAAGTTCTCTACGGGTATAACCCAGATTTCACGATTCACCCAAACTCCATGTCCGTAATCCCCGCCGCCGATGAGAGAGTTGATCAGATGAAAGAAGCGAGAGATGATGCCGAAAATACTCTTAAGATGGTCAATGAGCGCATGAAGCGTTTCTACGACAAAGGAGTAAAAGAAGCACCTCAGTATAAATAGGGAGACAAAGTCTGGCTTGACGCAAAAAATCTTAAACAACGTCGTCCGAGTCAAAAGCTGTCAGATCGTCGTCTAGGTCCCTTCGAAATACTAGAGAAGATCGGTGAAGTGAACTACAAATTGAAATTACCAGAAAAATATCAGATTCACCCGGTTTTCCATGTAGAATTACTTACGCCATATCACACATCTCGATTAATTCCTCATCCGCCTCCAAACCGACCACCTCCAGAATTGATTGATGATCGGGAAGAATTTGCTGTAGAAGAAGTACTAGATAGCTGATTGTTCCGAGGAAAGCTGCAATACCTAGTGAAATGGGAAGGATACCCGAAGGAAGAGTCATCTTGGGAGCCAGAAGAGAATTTGAAGAATGCCCCAATTCCTTTAGCGGAGTTCCATAAAAAGAATCCCACGGCTGCAGCCGGAAAATACCGAAGAATCAAAGGCTCAGTACTATTTACAGAAGATTTCAAACGATGGAGAGAAAAGAATATACGACCTTCATTTGTTCGTGATGACACTCACCTTAGAGAGGGGGTAATGTCACGAGTACCTTTAACAAACCATTATTCTTTCTTGAATCTTCCCAAGCGTCAATACACAGCGCCTAAACCAAACCCTAACCCTACCTTGAAAGCGTCTATCATTCCTGAAATACCTTTAGCGCCCACAACACGTGTCTTTGATGTGACTGAAGAAGAAGACGAGTTCTTTGATTGTGAATAGATTAGATTAGATATGATAAGATAAGATATGGTCACGTGATACTTCTTTAATATTCTACAATGTTCTATGGTACGATTCCCTTTCTCTTTTTATGATTGGCTAGTAGTTGTAACTCAGTTTCAATCTCCGTTTCAATAGTTGTATATAGGTAGCATGTCTTGGTCGATAGTTCCTTAGTTCAAACCTCTTGTATCTACAACTGTAGCAATCCAAGACGTACTTGCTCATTATCCTCTTTGTCCAATAACCTTTGTTTGAGTCCTAGTCTCTGCCCAGCGTTAATTCGTTATTGGGTTGTGACAGGAGGATTAGGAGAAAAATAGTAGGGGCCCAAGCATCTAGATGTTCTTGTAACAGTCAGCTCATCTGACGTCTCTGGTGATTCTTCGTAACCAAGCTCTGTCTTGCACAAAGTATACATTTAAACCTGGACTGTAGCATGCTGGTATACTGTTGTTGATTGGACTTCCCACACCCTCAGCCGTCTCCCATGCCTCTGAAGCACTGTCCCACATACAAACCAGGTAAATTTGACAGATTTACACAAATGATCACCTACCGAAAACAAATCCACCTTGCCTGTCGTTATTCCGAGTTACTTCTAGCAGAGTTCCTAGCATTCTGAACGATTTGAGTTAGGACTTTGCAATTTGCGTCCATCCATTTTTCACGCCAGTCTAATAAGGTGCCGCGTGAAACCTTTGTGGAACCCATACCAGTCTTCTGATCTGCCCTTTATCATGCGACATTTTCTGGGTTCAATTATCACATTCTCGATTCTATGCATCCGGCCTTTAATATACATTTGGACAGGGCAACATCATTGATCAAACATGGAATACAAAACATTTGAAGAAGGCAAGAAGCTCGGTTAACCACGAGACCACACACCTAATCATCTCTCATCAGCATCTCATCTTCTTCCGTTTCAACCTCCTTGTCCTCCACATAGCCTGAGTCGTCGGAGAACTCGACTGTGTGGGATTTCTTGCATGTCTGTTCGTCATCGAGCCCATCAGTCACCTTGCGCTTACCCTTTGCATCACCCATGTAGTCCTCTAATGTCTTAGCGGTGATGGAGGCATTGGGCAGGAGCATCATTTCTTTAAGCATGACCTGGTATCTCCTCGTTCCGTTCCTTTCTTCTGGATTTCCGTCTCTTCGGCCTGATATTGTCCACCTGCAGAGAAATTAGTCAGTGTTGCGCTGTATTGCCGTGCCAGCATTTGATACTCACAATTTGAGCTGACATTCCACCATGACGACGTCTCCAGTTACCAGCTTTGTAAATCTGTGCAAGCAACCTATCAGTGGTCACCTCGGTCAGAATAAGCGAGGCATCTCACAGGCACATGCCGGTCAATTCGCTGCTTCTGTAACTCAATGCTGACCAAGTCGTATGGCATGGGTGTGGGCAGCAGATGACACATGCGTCCATTGATGACAGCATTGTATGGACATTCTATGTTAGAACACTGATCTGACAGACGCCAGATAACATTGGAACGCTCGACCATGCTCTTGATGGGAAATCTCCGGTCCCACTCCATGACAAAGGAGTGTGGGCCTACATCTGCCACGTTATGCCATAATGTCAGGCACAGCGGACCACAGGGTTCATTCAGGAAGGAGGTCGTGTTGTAGACGTTCCAGCCTTGTTTCTCCATACAACCAACATTTTTTCCAGGTGCAGTGTCTAGCACAGTGTGATTGGTGATGGCTACACCTTTCAATGTCCATAACGGATAGAGAACGGTGAGCCCTCCAGCCGTCATCACGGTCATGTCAGCCGTGGTATGAGAAGACATGATCACCTTGAAAACATTGTCTGCGAAGGCTTGGGACAATGTTATTCTCAACGGACCACACCTAAATTCAGAGTAGGAGCTGACGACCTTTGTGTAAGAGTAGTTTATAGCTGTGTTCTGTAATTGGTGATATTCCAGGGTGCTGAGGATAAATGCAACCAGTGAGAGATCACAATCTTTTGGCACAATAATGTTGATGTTGTTTGGGCGCTCACCACCATCAGACCGCAACATCTGTATCACGCAAGAGCCGTTAATGACTCCTGAAGCAGTGTGGAGCAATAGGCGAAATTCAGCCATGTGCTCCCTGATAAATGGCTTGAGAATATTGTCAAACCGGGCAGCCACACACTCTGCACCCACACGGTCCACCTCCCTGTTCAGGCCTTGAAGCGCTACCACATCTGTAAGCAGCGGAAGGTAATGGAATACCATCTGCACGAGTGCGGTTTGATTGAAGACTAGGCATCCATGAGATAGGTGAGGTGACTGATAGCAGCCATGGGGGACATACAATTTCTGATTGGACTGATCATGGAGCGTCTGATGGGGGCATGAATCTGGTAGGCATCAATTCACTCTCTTGGTGTGAGCTATTGCAATTTGGCCCAACCACGCACTAGGCAGTAAGTATCAGGGGGGCTCAGTTCTGTAGTCTGTCCAAGCAATCGCTCTGAATCCTTCAAACCAACTGAAGCATGTGTTCAGATAGATCAGGACACTCACCCCAATTGTTTATCCAAGTGGTATCAGATATGAACCCCATTCTCCCTGAGACCGTTACTGTAAGACTAGGACGTATCTCATTGGCCCCAAAACATTTCTTTGAATAGTGACCAAGGTGTGTCTCAGTTGCCCGTGTCTCCAAGTCGATTGACAGATGATCCATGAAATTCAGTTTTCAATCCTGGTCTAAGTATGAGGGTGCTACACCTCTGTGACAGTATGTAGTCATTTACACTGCAGACAAACACCGTCTGCTTGTAAAATGTCCATGGCCGAGTCAAGGTGTTGAGCACATACTGCACAATCAAACTAGTCATGGGCAATGGAACGCACAACAGCTGTGCAAAGTTAGCGTGCACATGTGGAGTAGAAGAGAAGGCCATACTATTCAGCCTTGCAGGCATGTGATATAATCAGCCAGTGACTAAAAATCAGACAGGAGATGCGAGCAAAACATTTTTCCTTGGTCCATGCGCAAGAATTGGAACATGGTTTCAGAAAGTGTCTTGAGCTTTCAATTGTTGGACCAATGATAGCACATTGATGCGTGCTGTACTGATCGGTCAAGCTAATCTGAAACATAATAGGGATCTGAGTGCTGTCGATTATACTACCCCTGCCAACAACTCCCAATACGAGAAGGATAGAATCATGTCATTGGAGAGAACATGCAACGTGCAAACTACAGTACAACATGGGCTACAGTTTATGGAGTGACACACTTGAATACTGCATAGCAAGGGTCATATCATCACTGGTGCCCTGTGAGGGATCATGGGGGTCTGAATGTCAAAAACTGTGATGGCCCTCTAGATGAACAGACCGTCATGAATGTGCAGATTGTCATAACAAGAAGCTCACCCTCCAGGTTGCCATATCGAACTCCATTATCATCTCTCGTCTTGAGACACCAGCCGCACAATCTTGGCTTGTTGGTCGTTCACACAAGTCTGTGAGCATTCAGCCAGCTTAGATTAACGATAATGAGAGACTCACATATCATGGGTTCACCGTTTTCCATTACCTCTAATGCACAGATACCGTTGTGAAACATGAATGACAAGTAGTACATGTTTTCTACTGACTGGCCAAAGTGGGCTGGGTTGATTATGAAACGGAAGATGTTCACAGGGCCTGACGCTGCCAGAATGGAAGTGATCTGCCAAGAGCACATTAGAGATGTCATTGTAATGAGATGCATACACACATTCGCTATGATCTCCATTTCTCTCTGGGCAAGAGTCCTACCACCAATCGTTTGTTGCGCCTGGCTACAGCTTGCCTGTTGATGGCCCAGCTCATGGGTGGAAGCATGCATTGATAATTATCCTGGAGTTGATGGCCCGAGTTGAAATTAGTGATCCATGTCTTATGCTGCTGAGTCGTCAACAATCATGTGACCAACTGCACATAGCGACTTGTACATGAAAATATGAAGCAGCATGCGCCAACACGAGGGGTGTCTGCTCTGTGGTGTCCTAAGTGTGAAATGATTAGAGGAAAATCGTCATGTGTAAATCACCTACCTTAGTGATGTCTGTCTTTAATGTTAGTGCACCATGCTAGGTTACGACATCTTTAACCTCTCTGCATGCATAAATGTATGCAAGCGCAGGTCGCTGAGACAATTTGACCAGATCCATAGTACAAGTCTTGTCTTTCTGTGGACAACCATTGTTCTGCTGACCGTTGTATTGCCAGACACACTTGTTGATGATGAGGCATGCGGTGAAGTGCTCTTGTCCACAATATATCACTCCGTTGAGCTGATACGAGGCCTCACAAGATCCGCATTGCAGGGTGAGTGTATCGGATGGCACAATATCACCAACTTCATGAGGGATCATCTCAAAGAAGATTATGGGAGGGGTGTCATGCAGGCTGATGTCGTGTGATGGTACAATGGACGTTCCTTCCGTCTCAGAGGCACGGTGGCCACGATTCAGCCTGGCTACCTGCCTTTGCAGCCAAAGGTCCAACCAGAGTTGGAGTGCCATGGGTGCACGTGATGTGTCCAAATTCCTGAACCGCCACACAACATCGAGGCAGTCCAAAGTTCAGCAATGTAGCAGCGTGGGCAGAACCAGAAGGAAACATGGGAACCACCTGCAGGAGTGGCTCACTGTCCCCACACAACAGTCAGAGAATGGCAATGGCAGATGATGTGTGAGCACCATGACGGGGGAATTGCTTGGTGTTGTACATTGCCAACAGATCTCGAAAAGAGTCCCTAGAACGATCAAAAACCTCAGGTGAGAATCGGTTGGTGTCAGATTGCAGTATCAACTCGAATGAGTCTGCCAATGCACTGCACAGGGGATTCACTTGGGCCCATGTCAGCCTCCAGTTTTCGTCAGCTTGGGCATAGATGTAGCAGAAAACCATAAAAACACTATCATATGAGCAGGACCAGTCAGACGCAGACCATCTGCATCCAACAGTGGGTGGAAATGCTGGAGCAAGTACATGGGGGACAAGTGGGGCGAGATGGGAATCTGGATCTGTGTCATTCAACATACAATGTCGCTTGATGGCTCGAGCATTTTGCTGTGGTACTTTGTTTGACAAGGGTTCATCCGCGTTGTCATGTTGATGCTTTTGCACGAGAGAATGTGTATCCAGTGCCGTGAATTCTACCTTGATGGGCACCATAGCGAGAGCAACCTCACCTTCAGCATCTGGTACAGCCACAGTCACCCCTTCTTTGAGCCCCATTCTGACCAGTGTATTGTGTTCCAAGGCTTGGAAGCGTCGTACCTCAACACATAAGTCCCTTGGAAGGTGTTTGTTGAGCTGTTCGAGAGTCACTCGCTCTGTCAGGCACAAACCCATGCGCGCCCTTGCATGAGAGGCGGCAACATATGCTGCAAAACCACCTTCATGAAGGTTTACCAGAACACAAGGCAAAGTTTTCCCTTGCGCAGAATGCGCGGTGACAGCGAATGCTGGTTGGATAGGGACTTGGGCACGCGTGATCCGTAACCTCTCTCGAGTGCCATTTGCACCATTCATTGTAGTTGTAAAGGTCCATGTTGCAGGGGAGATGGGATACCAGCCTTGCGGAAGCTTGCTGAGATGCACCTTGCTGTCAGGGAAGTGGACCAGGACACAGGCCGCATGGTTGAAGCCTGCTGACGATTTTGTGGTGAAAATATGCCGGATAATGCCCTGCGATCCATTTGTGATCCCAAGGTCGGTTGAGATGTTGCGCAAGTGCAGAATCACTGGCATCCCCACAAACAGAGAGACAAATCCTGGTAGAGGGGATGAAGTCTTCAGCGCAGATACATTCATCTTCAGAAGAGAATTGTGCTCTGTCACAGAGAGACTACGGCTGGACTTATCTAAAGCAGCACACAACATCAATTTTGCAGGTTCAGGACACATTGTCTCTGCCTTGTAGATGTTCAACACTTCTCGCACGGCATTTGTGGCAACAATGGCAGCAGCTTCTGCATTTTCAGAGACACCCATGTCTACACCCATCTGGTAAGTCGCTGACTTGATCACTCTGGAATTGAATAAAGCAATGTCTTCTTCCGTGCATCTTCGCTCCCATAATCGGTTCACGGCCTCACCATACTCTGGGTCATCTTTCATGTGTTGCTGTTCTGTTAAGCTGACTACAGTATTGATCGATTTCCATGCAAGCCATCTAAGTCTCTTGTGTATCTCAGCATCATTTTGTCCAGCATACAGCGAGATGGGTGTGTATAAGGCAGTACCTCCAACTGGCAGAAACTGATAGAAGTCACCAGAGAATATGACTGTGACACCACCGAACCATAGACCAGGCTTCTCTTTTGCATATCTTAGTGCATGGTCCATCTCGGCCAACAACTGTAAGGACACTAAGGAGACTTTGTCTACAAGGAGGAATTCAACATTCTTCCACTCATCACGGAGTTGCGATCGATTCTGCACACTGATCAAGACTGAATAGTCTTGTGCGCTGCTGCCAGGTTCGCGATTACCCTTTCCTTTGTTTGTTGACTTGATTTTGATTCCCAGTCCTTTGTGCACTGTCATCCCATCAATGAGAGCGGCTGCCGAGCCAGTTGGGGCCAAAAACCTGATGAGATGGGCACACCCATAATGCTGCATCACACGTTGGACAGCTTTCACAACGTAAGTCTTGCCTGTTCCACCTGGTCTGGTCATCAGCATTCTCAGTTGTTCTTCTGCTGGTAGGGTTTTGTCGACATATTTTGCAACGAAGAATTCAGTGATCGTTCTGAAAGCCACCCATTGTTTAGCATTGAGGTTGTACTCCAATCCAACACATTCAATCACCTCCTTTGGAGACATCATACCCAAAATGGCATCTTTAGGGCGAGGGCATTCTGTAGGTTCACATTGCATCTGTGGGAGGCAATCTGAGGGTGACTGATGCAGAACACTTTCACTGGTTACTGTTGCAGGAACCGGTAGGAATTCCACTTGTGTCTCAGGGTTAAGTGCATTTCGGCAGGCATGGGCAATTGCTTTTTCTTGTTCTTTGATCTCAAGCCTCCATTTTTTTAGTTGATGGCTCAAGCTATCTCCATGGAACGTCATCACAAACTCATCGTTGTAGGTGGGGGGAGGGGCTACAATCTGTTGGTCTTGGTGGCATTTGCGGGAAGCGAGCCATCCAGCTTGCTGCATCATCACGACCATTTGCTGCAGGCGAAAATCTTCCTCAGCTCGCGGTAGACCTGCATTGGCAAGCATCATATCAACCTCGTCATCTCCAAGTCCCAGGGCCAACGTCAAAACCTTACTCTCTGCAACTGTATTTGCCTGTTTATGCAGTCTATCTGCATCCCTCTCATCCTCACATTCATGGACAGCCTCCCAATTTGACATAATTTGAAGTGATCGAGGTGAGAATGCAAATGAGTGGAAGGCATCAACAGCACTTTGCTGCGGTTCAAGGAGAGGAGAACTTGCACTGAAAGGTTTGAAGTAGGCAAGTGCAAAAATAGCCCAAGCATTGCTGTCTGTTGAATGTGGTATTGACATTCCTACAACACGAGGCACCAGTTCTCGACGGCCATCACCTTGGTCGTCATTCGTATGCTCGACAAGTTCATGTGTTTCATGAGTGGGATGCCCAGCTTTGAAGCGGTGTCTGCAGTACACACCCAGGTGAGTTTCATGTGTGTTCTTCATTTTGGAGCTCCTGTTAATTGTCTCAACTCACACACAACAGCAGAACTCATAGAATGACATATTTGCAAGCGCATCAGAACAGAAGAGATAATGGTGCACCTGATTAGCTTCAACCAGGCGCCCTTGCTTGTTAGTGCTCACGCGGAGATGGACCAGTTCCAGTTCATCATCATCATCATGATCGGAGTCCACATCATCTCTGACTGAGGGTAGGAAATGCTCTCGGACATATGCCATCAGGAGTGATGACATCATTGGTACTGTGTCATGGGATGAAATACCATCATCAAACCCTTGTATGTAGCGGGCAGCCTGTTGCGCATGAAACCTGCTGTTGTCGGTTAAATTGCGACAGGCACTTGTGCAGCAATGTCTTCGCATGCTCAGAAACTCCTCCATCACTTAACTCAGGAATGCATGCAACTGCACACGACATCAATGATAACACCTCATATGTCTTAATATCCATCTTGGTAATATAATCTGAAATATAGAACATTGCTGCCTTTGCACCTTTGCCCGACAGAATACACTTGATATCATGGTTGTGCCGGCAAAAGATGAGTATATAGGGATTGAAATAATTGACATTGCCATCAAGGCACTTCAGCACCACAGAGTTCGTCTCGGCATCAAAATAAGATTTGTCCACAATGTCATGAGGGAACAGAAATCGACACCGGCTATCATTTCCATATTTGTGACAGACAGCACGACACTCATGACATTGAAGTACAGTCCCACATCTCTTAATCTCGGTGGCACACAACACTTCCCAATCGCTGAGAACAGGTGCCGATAGATCAGACACTTTTGGGGGATGGGGGGGCCGTTGTGTACGAGGCTCAAAATTGGTGTCAACCACATCTTCTATGTCAGGCAAATGATGGTGAATCACATCCTCAAAGAATGCAAAAAACCTTTCACTGAAACCAGGCTCCTCACGAAGGTGGTTGTGAAGGTCTGCTGGATTCAAGCCTCCTTCCAACCAGAGGAGAAAATGACCATGCAATGCTCCTCTCTCAGTGAACTCAGAAGTACCATAGAATGCACGCACACGACCCAATATCCCACCTTCAGCTACACTCTCCTGACGGTCAAAGTCCCATCTGAACAGATGTCGAAAGAGACACTGATAACTGAACTCATAAAAATCTGCGGCTGCAACAGGGTCATGAGCAAGGCAGATAGCACGTGTGCGTCCATCAGGCATGTGTGGAAAGTGCTCAGACAAGTCAATAGTGCGGTCGCCATATATCACCTGGAAGATAGGACTGTGTGCAGCGCTTGGGTTGAACGTGAAGAAGATGTGGGGCAAGCCAAAATATCCAAAGTAATTGCGGATTTCATTGCGCACGAAGATTTTAGATGCTTGTGAGCCCAGTATACGCGCAGACATTGTGTTCACCTGATGCAATAATTTGAAGGCATTCTGTTCAACTTCGGTCAGGTCAGAGATTTTACACTCTTGCTCAAGACGATTGGCTAAGTGTTGCAACACATCAGCAGACACACTAGTCAAATTGCGAGCCACAGTCTTGAAGTTCGATTTCCGGACAGCAAAATAGGTTTGGAGATGCGCACGCCACCTCTGCAACATGTTAAGTACTACAAACAAGAAGGATTCATGGTATCTGAACTTGTGATCAGAGATATTTAGCATGTGTTTTGCCTGCCGGTCAAAATACAAGGCAGTCTGGCATGTCTCATCCTCAAATCCGCCGATGCCATATGGAAACAAAGTCGGGTACATGCCTGGGAAGAGCTGCGTGTTATTATATTCAGGAATGGCATTGGTACCATGATGAAGCACCATATCAGGATGTGAATGATTGGGTTGTTGTGGAACAAGATTGCGAAGTGCAGATGCTGTAAAAGTTCTGCCACTAACTTTGTCAGACTCCGGATCTGACACACCCATTTTTTCAATGACGACAGTAACCACATCATTATCAGATGTGGGGGGCACAGGAGTATCAGTGACTTGTAACATTGTAGCAGGATGTGTATCAAAGCCTGAAGTTTCTGTCTGGAAGACTGCTTGAGCATTGAGTTCATAATCCTCAACCACACTGTCCTGCAGGCCGGGAATGGTACCGTCCTCAGGGTACAAGTCTAAGATTGCAGGATCCAATGGAATATCCGCATACAGTCTGTTGAAACATTTCAACCACAACAAGAAACTCCAGATGTTGTTGCAAATGCGGAATAAGGTCCCCATGCGCTTGGGATCAAATTTATCCGGTCCAATGAAAACCACACTTAGGAACCCATTGATGTCCGCTGGTGTTCGAGGCAATACAGAAGCAGTCGACATCACATTCATGTCATGAGCACAAGTATTCCCATGAAACACTTTGGGTTGAGACAGGTCAGACGACTGGAATAGACGAGTCACATGGGCTGTGATGGAGTATATTGCACAGACTTTCTCCTCAACCCATGTCAAATCAGAAAAAGTATGTGGGAGGAAGCCACGGAACAAACCATTGGCCAGTGCAAGTGCGGGCATCTTTTCCTTACTCAAAGATGTCTTGCAACCAGAGCATACTTGAATTGCCATGGCTTCAGAGTGAGTAAATACCAAGCCTTGTTTGTCTAACATCAGACCATCAACCACATGATTACCAAAAGAGAAACATGAGGACATGCCCTGAATAACACATTTGCGGATGATGTAATTGTCAGAGAGGCGCAACAATTCGAGATGCAAGGCAGACAAATCGCTGGACAAGCTGATATGAGTCATACTTTGATTATACTGCGAGCATACGGCGCACACTGGGGGGTCAGACCACTCCGTCGCCTTCACATATTCATCTAAGCAACCAAGAACCACATCGTTGGAAACAACGGAAGGCCAGTTTTGTTCTCAAACAGCCCGTACATCACGAGCAACTGCAACTGCAACTTGCTTGGCTTCTGCCCGCTTAATCTTACGGTTATCCAATAGGGACAGTAGGGGAAGCGCAATTCGATTAACAATAGATGCTCCAAATTCGTGTGTGAGTATGGCACCCAAGACAGCATCATCAGACAAAGAGGAAGAAGTCAGGAATGGAAAGTGTGCAAGATATACATTGCACAGTGCATGACATCCCACGGAAGAAAGATGGAGGGCATGTTGACGAACAAGATGGGCAAGGCTATTGCACAACTTACGATGGGAACAGGCGCTGTAGAGTGTGTGATGACAGTGAGCCAAGCCATGTATGGATGACCGAATCTCTTCACGGCTCAATTTTTCAAGGCATCGAGTGAGCTGATCCAGAGGTACAGACATCCAAGGGGCAGAGAAGGCATTGGCCAGGCGTGCAATGGTGACAATCATCAATGACAGAAGCTATGAATGCAGGAGGGGTGCACAAAGCACGGGACACCTCAATACCATATATGTTTTGTGTCTCTGCAGCAAGCACAGTGTGACGTGTCTTAGGGCAATCAGGTGGAAGTTGAACAGATAGATGTTCCATTAGATTCCGGTCTGAAGATTTTGAAAGCTGACAATGTAGATGGTTGAAATGATGGAGAATGACTTGGATACAACCGCCCTTGAGACGGACCTTCAAAGATTCGCATGTCAAAACCTGAGCGCTGGCTCGGAGTACGGGTGCAGGTAGGGCAGATAAATGCTCCTCATATGTTCCATCCGGATAAGAAAACCAACGAAAGTCCTCCTCCAACAGCAAAGGGAGAATAGACTCCACAGAGAAAGCATTGGCTGCATCATAAGAGAGGAAGCACCGAAACACGTCACAGTGATGGTACAGTGCACTCTCAAAATAAGTGCGAGAATATGACAAGGTGACGGCGTCGATACGAATGCTAAAGCTTATGCCATCAAAGAGAACGGATACAGCACGTGCGCAAGTGCTGCATTGAACACAAGACCTGCTGTGAAAGTCAAGAGAGAACTCTAACCAGGCACAGAAAGCAGAACTCGTGCCAAAAATGTCGGGATGGTACTCCGGATAGTATAATGGGTCATAAAACATAGGATATGTGGTCACTGCGTGTAATTCATTATAGAGGGGGCAATCATCCAAATTGAGTATGCGAGGTCACGTGCTGGCAAGTTTGTTGATAAACATCTCGCCAGACTGTAATGCCAAACATTGAGAAGTGAATGAAAGTGAGAAATGGAACCACATACCAATGCAGCCAGAGGAGGCAGGCAAGAGAAGCATGGCAGATGGAAGACAACGAGAGGGAAATTGGAAGGCAAAGGAGGATTAATTGAGGACCGAGCATCGCTCTTCAAGTTATATGACAGATCGGCCTAGAAATGGATCTGAGACGAATGCAGTGGCAGTGTTTGAAATTTGACAGTTCAGTACAAGGGGATTGCTTACGTCACCAACAATGTTTGAAGACTCGACCTGTTACGAGAATTATCAACCTGGGACAACATTTCAATCAGTTTCTCAAGTCTGCTCACAAGCCATTAGGACCAAGCTGAAGACAACATCGAATGAGTTAAAGAGCCAGCCACCAAAATTACTCAAAAAATAGCTTATTGCAGTGAGATGCAGTGAGAACGACTGGAAAGCGATAGAGGAAATATGTTCCCGTGGTTGCAGATTTTCTGGTAGGTGCGTCAACTGACCTCAACGGCTTGGTAAACAAAGTGTTAAGTAGTACACGAGCATATCTCAGAGTACAGTAGTGGGACGGTTCTTGACATCAAGTTAGAAAAAAAGACAAGATAAAGAATGTTGGACCCTTGCATCAGCAGCCAACAATTCCGCAAGAGCGACACCTTCTACATATACAGTATGAATTGAAGGGTCATGAGCGATAGAATGAATAACACCTGTGAAAATCAGAAACATGGACCAGGACTATGGTTACGACTTACTTGCAAGCGAAGCAGGTTGAGAAAAAATTTCTTGGGTAACCACCAAGACGCTCATGGCAGGCTCAGAAGAGATTGTGATTCTCGTATATGGGCACTTGGTACCACATGGAACTCAGGGTAGCTGCAACTAACACGATCAACTAGGGTATGCAAGAATGAGTAGGGTGACAGTGGATACAACAACTGGCATACTGAGAATGAAGGCGGCACAGCCATCAAAGATGTTCAACAAGGACTGCATGGCATCACACATAGTGTACAATTGTCTGGAAATTGGTTGTATGGGATCAGGTGAAAAGGTCGAGATGAAGTCACTAACCATCACTCACGCAAACACAGAGTCGTAGTCCTGATTAACCAAATTGCAAAATGTGGCAGTCCACTAGAGCAGCAGAGATCTTCGCAGGTAGGATCTAACAGTAATAATCAGCGATCACATGAGAGAATCACATGAATCTGCAGGACACATACGTGCATAGATGCCATTTGACGCAGGTGTTTCAGATGTGTTGCAAGTGAGATCGTGATTGACACATTGGACTGCTGACAGGAGTATGTGACGGTGGCCAGGATACTGGCAACTAGGATCCAGGTGTATTGCACAAAAGAATCAGATGTATAGAGCGTGCAGACAGGAACATTGATGTGATTGGAGCGACAGGACAACAGACTGAAACATGGGTAAGTTGACATCAATGTATAACACGACTGATTGAGTACAAAGCCCGAATCTCCTATTCCATGGCTTGAAATGAATTTTGAGTTCGGACAAAACCCTTCTTGTCCAGAAGATCGGACATTCAGTCGGTCTTGCTGTCGATCAGTGTACTTTGTTCAAATGAGAATGATCACAACCTACCATTCTTTCCTCCTCTTCATGTCTGCTGCAGTGTTAGACCTCATCAACTTATATGACGGCGAGGGTGCTGTGATCTTTAGTATGTATCTGCACTCTGTCCTGACTTACAATTGACAAGCTTGATACAGTAGAACATCAGAATCGTGGCAAACCATCTTTTGATGTGAAGAGCAGCGCTGTTGTGAAGGCTTTGGCTGGAGGCAAGATGACAGGACATTCGTCTGTTTTGGTAGCAGTCAACAATCTCTACCACAATCCGCTGATGCTGGCAAGTATGTGTGTGAGGACATATGGTCGTGCAGCAGGTTAATCCACTCACTGCAGGCATGGTCAGGTCGATGGCCCAAGATCTCAGTGGATTGTGTATATGCGGAATCGGTTGAGCTGGCCAACTTCCTGGTGGCTGAAGCTAGGAAGCAAGAGGGTGCTGTGTATGCATCTGCTGAAGGGCTGACAATCAAAGATATATTACGGCACAATTCGGTGTAGTCAGGTGAACGTGCCTTGGAACAAACCAATAACAGGCAAGCATGAGTTGAAGTAGGCTAAGGTGATAGATGAGGCAAAACATTGTGCATGCTTTCTGAAGACAAAGTATTCCTGTTAGAGCAGTGCATTACATTATGGCATGTTAGCATAGAAATGAACAGCAGCCTTAGGGTACTAGGTGTTGGCGCTAAAAACTGATGAACTTGCAGTGTTTCAAGAGACTACTTGATACGGGTTTGAATCATAGTATCATAATTCAACACTGACCTCTATACTTGCGGTCTGTAAAGTCAAACAATGTTCACAATTCAAATGTACAACCACATGCGTGTTTCTTCATTGCAGAACACACCAGCCGGGAACAGGCCATTTGGCATGCTGCGCGGGAACAGTGCACCCCAAAAGGGCCAGAATGAGTACTTTGCGATGCGGTGCACGACCTGAATGAAGAACAGGATGACATTGGCCATTCAAAATTTAAAGGCAAGGAAGGTAGTGATGTGTGGGAAGAACGAAATAGGAAAGGGATTGAGCCGGCGGAGTAAAAGAGGAATTAAGTTCATGCGCTTGCAGATTTTCTTGTAGGTGCCTGGACATTTTCATCTGACATAACCCTCTCTCTACTTCGTAGAGTCGGGGAGGGGTCATTGCAACTGCTTTCGCAAATTTCCGACATTGCCAGGACCGAAAAACCCGTGTGTGACCAAGACTGACTTGTCCAGGATTGCCCAGTTGGGAAACAATGTGAATTCTCTTCGGATCGCCCCAAAGCGGTAGTGGCTGAGTACTACCGCCCAAAACATTACTCGATTAGGGAGTCTCATAATATCAATGTTTGCCAGCCTCCCTAAGCCTTCCCCTCCCTCCTGTGTAATAGGCTTGTATATATAATATGTATTAGCCATTATATACCTAATATAATATACTTAACCGCTTTCATTTGCTACCGGCTACCATTGGGCAATCAGTTCTATCAAAACAATATAATTTGCATTTTTACATTGTTGCAGTAGGAGATATATCAATCGACGTTTTGGGGTGCTGGTTTGAAAGGCTGACCTTCTCAAACAGTGAATGGCGATTGCTGAGTATTAATGATGTTAAATGTTAAACCCTCGTAATCGTCGAAGCCTTGGTAAGGCTCTTACATGTTCCCAGGTGTGGCAGCGACTTGCCCTTGCCCCATGCTCACTGGCATGGATAATCATCACATATTCAAGCTCTGCAGCTCCAGCATGAAATGATTGTCCTTGAACTATCGTGTGGTTGAGGAATGAAGCATGTGGTTCGGAGGAAGGCACGGCATACGCGGGTGGCACTGGCTTCAGAAGAGAAAGATTTCGTGCTGGCTGCTGCAAGCTTGCAGGCAGCGGAAGAATCTTTGGTAAAGATCGTAATA